AGGATACCGGAGTTTGATTCTATCTCGCCGATTGACGAGAGCCTACGGATGGGATGAAAACACTTTCCAAGTTTTCTAGGAGAGCGACTAATAAGTGTGAGGACTGCGGACGAACCCGGTCTGATTGCTGTAGCTCAGAATGGTTGCTGTTGGTCCGCGGCCTAAAGTTTGTCAATAACAACTTCCACTTGGAATCGTTCGGGTGAAGTTGACCCTTCTGGACTTCTGTTTTGTATTGGAATGTATGGGTGTCTTGGAAAGCTTGCTTCTGTAACTCTCAGCAAGAGCTTTTCGAAATGTCTTAAGAACGGACCAGTGCATGTATGGAATACTACTCGATCTTGAGCTTCCTCTCGTTCTATTCATCTGTCGATGGCCTTGGACCCTAGGAAAGAGTAAATGTACAGGGTTATCTGATGGCAAAACTATCATTCCTATTCACTTTGCTTCTCCTAGTCTCGGAACCTCTCTTCCCACCGCATCCCGCATGATTTCTTGGACCCAACTCGGCAGACCCCTGTTTCCGGATGCCCAAGACCACTGGTCTGGAATTATGAGCTGCCCACCTCGACAACTAAAGATTTGACCAGTCACCCTTTTTGCCACATCCTCTGGTTCCATCATACGCCCATACGACTGTTCCACCCTCTCAGCGTGGGCCGCAGTCATATTCGTTCTGACCCACATTGGATGTACCACGGTGGTCAATATTCCAGATGCTTTGTATACATGCTTGATCTCACAGGAAAGACCCTCGCTGAATGCCAAAGCGCCAGCCTTGGTTGCGGAGTAGTCTACTGCGGTGGGCAAAGCTGAGTAGGATGCCATGCTTGCCACGGTGACAATGTGGCCCTTGTTTTTCATAATCATGTCGGGGATAAACTCCTTGGCTGTAGACCACAGAGAAAGGAGGTTGACGCCAAATATTCTCCGTAAGTCTTCCGGGTCGGTTTCGATGACAGAGTGAGTGTAGGCGACACCGGCATTGTTGACTACGATAGACGGATTACCCAAAGAGGCCCGGATCTCCGTTGCGCTCGCTGATACGGCTTGTGGCGAGGTAATATCGCACTTCCAGTACTTGACTTTTTGATTGGCACGCAGATCTGCGGGCATCGGTTGAGTATCAAGTACCGCAACAGTAACTCCCTTCTGAGCGAGACCTATCACAATGGCCTTGCCAATTCCGTTACAGCCACCAGTCACGACCGCAATCTCATTTGCCCATCTCCAACCAGGATGACTGGTAAGGCGCCAGTTGTTCAGGGCCCATCGGTTCGCTGCTCTGTTTAGGTATCTAGCAATTCCTGCAACCAGAAGAATCTGTAATGGGAGTCGGTAGCGGACCACAAAATTTGCGGTCAGCAATTGGTGAAGTCTATTAAGACTTGGGGATCGCCGCAACATGTCGGGCGGTGAATAAGCAACGAAGGTGAGAAGGGACGCAGGAACAAGAGGATGAACAGCAACAGCCGCAATGCCGTTGATCGTCTTGAGGGTGGAACTGATGATGTCCGTCATTTTGATGAGAAGTTCGATAAGTAGAAGATCTTTGCAGGCACTATCATTTCTCGGCAGACGGACTCTCATGGTCTTATACCTCATTGTTGCCGTGGCTCTTACCCGCAACAATTCATCTGTTCAAGTCAGATGGCGTCCGATAAAACTGGGCGGCCGTGCCACAGCTCCCGGAAACTTGTTGCTCTTTTCGTATTCTGAGACGTGACAGCCTGGTAGACTCCCTGTACGACACACTTGCTCGTTTCTCCAATCAATCAACGTAGACTTGATATTAGATTACCAACCAGCGGACTCGGGCTCGCGGAATGACCGCTGTACAGGGTTATACACGATGCCCATGAACAGGGCAGTACCTTCCTCATCTTTCTCCGTTGAATTCTGGCCACTTTCCTAGAATTAGAGCCACATGGTCATGAGGTGTAATCAGCAAGATCTCCGGGCGGCACGGGGGAGATCGACAACGCTAGACCCAAGTAGGAAGAATGTCTCCGGCGCATCCACTCCCCCGCAGAATTCACAGGGACAGGGTGCGTGGCTAGGGACATGTTTAAGCCAACCCCCTTCAGCGCAACCGGGGTATCAGGCGGGTTCCATCCGGGAAGCTTTTATGTTTTCGTGAAACTCTATCGCCTCTCAGCCATCCAGCACGCGTACTTCAAGAGCTTGTCAATGCACGGCGAACGATAGGAGGAGCATTGACCGAAAACTGGTCTGGTCAGATCGTACATCAATCCTACTGAAGGGATCTCTTCCAGGGTCCAGCGATTGATCGATTGCAGCAAACCTCTCTGATACAAGAGGTGACTACTGTGCACAACATTCGTACTGGAATTACAAACTCAAGGAACAACAGGCACCTGCAAGCTAACGTGGACTAGATCAAACCAGAGGCCCTGGAAGCCACCTCTCCGCGCTGCCCAAGCAAGACCAACGAAATTATCAAGGGCTGCCAGATGTTGGGGATGTGAGGCGAATAAGCCTAAGCCACGTATTATCCTACTGGCGCTTTCCCTCGTTTCAAGCATCGCCACCAGAAGAGGAAGTCCAACAGGAAGTCCCCTCATATCTTCAGGTGTTAAGTTGACGAATCCGGTCAACTCTGCGCAGATCATGTCGGCATGCCAGCGCGCAACAGCGTCCTCAACCCCCAGTGGATATCTAAGCCGATGTATGAGAAGTAAAGCTGCGGTTCGGTAAACGCGAGCTTGTGTAAGCATCGCAGCGACCTCAATTGAAGTAAAGTCTTCGAAAAGTGTGGGCGGTGCGGACGGCTCCCATGCCCGTATCGCTCGCTCTACGGCCGTAAAAGCGTCGTCCACTTCTGAAAGCCGTTCTTGACTCTGTTTAAGGAGGTCCTGGCTAGACCATGTCTTCATCCTCTCGCTAACTTCGCATAGTTCGTGCAACAGGGGGAGAAAGGACCAGCATAGACCCACCGACCTGTCGACAATAAAGCGATCGGTTTTTGGCACTTGAATAACAGGTATTTCCCGCCGTATCAACGACTCAGCTGTGTCGAACAGAATCGGCGTGATTGAGATCGGATCGAATATAGGCTGGGCAAGGAGGTCGCTGTAAGACTTTTTGGCCGACAGGATCGCATGTCGATTGATTGCCCAGGCTGACGTGCAAGTGGTGAAAAGATGATAGACAATCAGTATTTGGCCCAGCATCAAGATCGAGGCGTTGTCCAATAGGTCCGACGTGCTGCCGAACTGAACCAAATTTTTCAAACAGTCTCTGCCCTCAGATACATCTATCTCCTCGGGTGGTTTAACTCTTTGAGTAACATCATCCCACACCGCAAATACGGCATCGTACGCCTTCAGTAGGCTGATGTTCGAACAGGGGAGTATCGTCTGAATGGATAGCCTAAATGACTCGGCAAAACTGGGACCGATCATGAAGTTTCGATGAAAGGTGTAGAATATCTGTCGGTCTGTGAGGGCGTTGAGAAGATGATGCTTATTCGCCGAGCTGTGCAACAACACAAGAGGGTTCAGATTTCCCTGCTCCAGTCCAAGGTCGCGGGGACTTTGGAATTGAATGCTTTGTTTGTTATTCTGAGATCTGGAGTAGCTCGGTTTGTGACTCGTGGGTACGTCAAGACCTAGTATGATCCCGCTGTGCCCATGGGGTAAATTCTTGACCACCGGTGGACGCCCCATGCGGCGCTCTGGCCTAGTGAGTCGACATGGCTGCTTGTGTGCAACGCAAAAGTTGCAGAAGGTGGAATCTCCATCGAAGACGCACTTTTCTTTCTTATTGTAGCAGACGTCGCAGGCTGTTCGGGGCATATCAGGCTTGTAGTCTGCGCTTACGGATGGGTTCTGGTCATTTCGGCTGTTGGGATGGAGAAAATATTTGAAGCTGGAGCGGGGTTGTCATCTGAGCGGCAAAACACGGACGGGGTAAAACAAATGCGAATGCGACTAATGCGAGTCGCGGCAAAATGATTAATGCGTTAAGTCGCTTCTCTAAAGCCCCGCCCGGAGAAGTGGCCGAGGCACCTCGGCCGTCCATCGTCACCTTGGGCAGTCCAATGTGAGGCGCTTTGACAGCTTCCGGCTGAAATAATTTTAGACCCTTGTTTTTCAGCAATTGCTGCAAAACATGAAGGCGAGAACTATTACCCAATGGAGGGCGGGATTCTATGAACATACCAGGCTATCGCCAAGACAGGTTGAGGCTGAACCTCGCCGTGGGTGCCGTGAATGATGTATCCTAACGGCGTCCGCGGTTGCCGGAGATTCCCATATGCACGGAGCAACGGAACACCTCTCATTCCCTTGACATATACGTGTGCGGCCTTAGCTGGAACGAAAGGTGGAATATTGATTGAAAAGAGAACGAAGCAAGAAGTCTGCTGCCCAGTTGTGCATGTTGCATGCGCGGACGGAGTTACATCGTGACGGGTTTCCACTATGCGGCAGATATTTTTCAAACACCAACGTATGGGAAGTTTCTGTCACTTCTGTACACTCCAGCAGTTTCCTGGTTATGCAGGGTAATTGCGCATCATTGACGTAAACCAAGTTTACTGTCTCACGCCGGTGTTGTGGGACGGGGCAACAGTCAACACGATGCTGAATCAAGCCGATGGTTTTCTTCCAAGACTCACTGGCAATGAAAGGCCAGTGGAGCTTGGCGGACTTCAAAGCCCGAAGAAATGGCACGGAGTTTGCGACATTGCCAGTAGCCCCGCTTCCGACGCAGGCGGTTTACCGGAGACTATTGTCCCGTTCAGGAAGTCGTCCCATCTCCAGCTTGCTGGGGTGCTGAAACCCGAGGCTGCAGGATGAAATTCCAATGTACAAGGGCCGTTGCACGTGTCCAAGTCTGCTCCGACGTTTCCCAACATCGAGTGCTTCCAGCAACGTTAATCGAGTATATAAACCCAAGTTGGTGATCATAAAGTCCATCTAGTTATTCTCTACTCAGACTTTATCCGTCCGGTACATTTTCCCAACAAAATAGTCATGGATGCCGATCTTAGTCAAGCAGAGCTCGCCACTGCGGGCGATATCTTTGACGTCATCATCATTGGTGCCGGCATATCTGGTATCAACACAGCATATTACCTCCAAGCCCACGGGCCTCCAGGGGCTTCATACGCCATTCTCGAAGGGCGTGGCGAAATTGGCGGAACCTGGGATCTCTTTCGTTACCCTGGAATACGATCAGACTCCGACATCTATACCTTTGGGTTCTCATGGAACCCATGGAAAGGCGACAACCCTCTAGCCAGCGGCCCATCCATCATGTCTTACCTGCATGAGTCGGTGTCGAAGTATGGTATCGACAAAAATATCAAGTTTCACCACCAAGTCATCTCGGCAGACTGGCAGTCATCAGAGTCGCTATGGACATTACAAACAACTGGGCACGGTGAAAAGATCAACTGTTTCAAGGCCCGTTTCGTCGTCCTAGGTACCGGTTACTATGATTATGAGCAACCGCTGGCTGCGGAGATCCCTGGCATCAAAAACTTTACAGGCCCAGTCGTTCATCCACAGTTCTGGCCCGAAGATCTTGATTACCGGAACAAGCACGTGGTCATTATTGGAAGTGGAGCGACTGCGGTGACATTGCTACCAAACATGGCCACGGAGGCCAGTCGAACGACAATGCTTCAGAGAAGCCCAACCTACATTACGGGGCTGCCAACCCAGAAGAGCCTTCCCAGCAGGCTAATGCTGTCTGTACTTCCGAGGAGTATCTCGAGCCGAATTCTGAGAGTTCAATTCATCTTGCTCGGTTACCTGCTTTATTACTATTGTCAGCTGTTCCCACAGTCAGCACGGAGAGCTTTGCTGGGACGCGCTGCCAAGGAGCTGCCCCCTTCAATTCCTCTGGATCCGAACTTCAGTCCCAAGTACAACCCCTGGCAGCAACGTCTTGTGTGTGCCCAGACGCTGATTTCTTCGCGGCGTTACGCTCTGGGAAGGCAGATGTCGTAACCGACGTCATTGACGTGGTGACCAATAACGAAATTGTGTTGAAGTCTGGAAGAATTCTCAAGCCAGACATCATTATCACCGCAACTGGGCTCAAAATACGGTTCGCTGGCGCGATCTCCCTTTCTGTCAACGGAAACCCCGTGGATCCGAACCAGAAGTTCGGGTTCAAGGGCTGCATGCTCCAAGACGTGCCCAACTTGGCATATGTGTTCGGATATGCCAATGCATCTTGGACTTTGGGTGCCGAAGCTACAAGTTCATACCTGGTTCGTCTTTGGCGGAGCATGAGATCGAATGGCATCCACTCCGTTACACCGTATACTGTGGATGCGAACAACATGAAGCCCAAGCCTGTCATGAGTCTCACCTCAACATATGTCAGACATGCAACCAAGGTGTTTCCCAAAGCTGGAGATGGACTGTGGGCTGCAAGAAAATTCTACATGCTTGATCTCTGGCGGGCTATGTTTGGGAACATCTTTGCCGGATTGAAAGTCGCATAGGAAACTGGCTGGGGCTGGCGATACCTCAAGTCCGCTGTGCGACCTTTATTGCCGGAGAATCTTGGTCTATTGCCAAACCTCTGGGCATTTTTTGTGTACTAGACAATTGATCTCTGCGGACTAAATATAACCGTCTCCTTTCTTCTACATGTTCGTGCCCTTCACTGTTACAGACTCTATCGTATGTTTCGTCTCTTGATATGCCTCACCTCTCACCTCTCGAGCGTAACACCATTCAGCACTTTTCCTTTCAGAGAAACCATAACTATCTACAATTTCTGGTTGCATTTTAATCGCCGGGTCAGCGACTCCAAGTTCGGTTGTGTACTCGGGCAACATTTGACTTGTTGCATGAAGCTTGTTACTTGCAATATTACTTGACCACTGTAGATACGGCAGTTACCGTCGTGATTTCAATATTCTCTATCTTTCTGACTGCCGCTCATGTTCTATGAGTCTTCTAGCTTGAATTTGTATTTTTTTTATGTATGATTAGGTCCATTATCCGGTAGGGCATCTCAAGATTGTGATGAGCAAATCCCCAGCTGGCAATGTGGTCCAACCTCGGAGTCCAAGTCAATTTTGTATGTTTTCAACCAATTACAACGCAAATAAAATAAGTTTGCAGAATTATTGCGGGCCCGTCACAAGCGCAGTCACATCTATCTCATTCTTTCCAATCCTGAGGGCAGCCATTATGATAATGATCGTTTTTCTTCCGTCTGGATGGGCCGACGTTCGGTTGCATGTTGGATCCACTTACTAGAGTGCTAACTTCAGGGGTGTTTCTTGGGTCTTGCTCTTAATTCGCTTGATAGCCTAAGATTCTGTTGGAGGTCTGCATGTTGTCGTGGCATTTGAATGCGCCATGCCGGTGTAACTGCCTTCTTGTGGACGTCTCCGAATGAGAATCCTTGCTCTCTGCAGCGATTACTGCACAGAAATCTTATAAGACTGCTTGGACTTGACCAAGGCGGCAGATTCTTTTCCTTTCTATTCCTTCAGCAAAAAGGACCAATATTAACACGTGCTTCTATACGTCCGACCTTGTCCCTCTTCGATATGGGTATCGGATACAATGTCGGAGGCAAAGTTGCATTGGTCACCGGCGCAGGATCAGGTCAGTATGGATCCTCTCTTCATTAAGGCGTTGGTTCAGACATGTGTTCCCAAGCCTTCAAGCATTCAAGTATACTGACACAAACTCCCTGTTGCCTGATAGGAATCGGCCTCGCCATTGCCCAAAGACTTCTTGCGCACGGCTGCTCAGTGATTTTTGCAGACTTGAATCTACGTGCAGAAGCTACGGATACTATTTCCAAGTTTCCCCATCCACCAGCTGACGCCGTTCACCCCTCAGCTGTCTTTCACAAGACAGACATAACCAACTGGTCTGATTTAACTTTGCTCTGGACAACATCAGTGGACACCTTTGGTCGTGTCAATATAGTCATCAACAATGCAGGCATTTTTGAGCCTCCTTGGTCATCCTTTTGGAACCCGCCGGGGATTTCCCCACAGTCCAGAGACCCTGTCGACGCTACAGTGGGATCATACCACATTTTCAATGTCAATACCATAGGTCCCATCCGCCTAGCACAGATGGCGGTGGACTATTGGCTGCAAAACAGGGACACCGAAGGCAACCTGCTCTGGGTTTCTAGCATGGGAGGTTACGTCCACTCAATCCAGACACCATTCTACTTTGCGAGCAAGGCTGCCATCCTGAGTGTGGTCAAATCATTGCAAGGTTTGAAGGAGCTTGTTGGTATTAGGAACTCGGTGATCTGCCCAGGGCCAACAAGAGTATGTCGCTTATTATGATGTTGTTATATCCGAAGGATAAACAACCAACTTTGCGCAATTGCTAACTTCCTGATTTAATTGGTCTAGACTCCCTTGTTCGACCAGGAATTTTGCAGAGATCGTCTCCCTGTCAATGATCTTGCTCTATCAACTGAGAATCTAGCTGATGCTATGATGAAGCTTCTTACCGAAGAGCAGTATGGCAACGGAAATATCCTCGAGATTATGATGACTGGTAGTAGAGATCATCCTCAGGTTCATCAGAAAGAGGTTCAGCTGGAAGTTCTTTATCCGACAGCTAGTCCCATGGGTGCAGGCACAAAAGCCATGGAAGAGGAATTGAATTTCATGCGAATGGTTGCCCAGCAGGGAATGCGTTCAACCTGCGCACCGGAGGGAAAACATTGACAGAAGGCCAAACTACTATCTGAGAAAAATGCCAACTACGACTGTGATTGATCTCTCAATTTTAGACTGTCACCCAAAACTGTCCTGTTCTCTTCTTGAAACTCTGATTCCTCTCCGATTCAACACACAGGTGTTGACACTTAATCTTTTGTCCGCGTGAAGGTACGGGATGCACCGGGAGCCCGTGTGTTATACTCCGTCTCGTTGATCTGTCATTCGCGCTTTTCCGATCGGTAATATTCCGCGTAAGTCTGCTTGTACCCCAGAATCCAACGTCCCCAAAACGCCACAGCAGTCAGAAGTGTCCTACTCGCAATTCTTCCGAAGGGTTGCCAAGAAATCGGCACGGCAAGTGGTGTGTCCGCACTATGGAGGAACACAAACAGCTGAAAGACGCTGGGTTGCATTCCGGCACTTTTGCAATCGTCTAAATATCCGAAGAAGTTGCGGAAGAACTTTTGCTCATTTTCATAGGATTCCGGTGTCAAGTGAATGTCCACAACAAGATCCTCAGACTTGCTTGCGTTCTCGAACCGGTGATAGGTACCGGCTTTGACGGAAGCTGTCGTTTGGCCACCGGGCTCATCCGACAAGGTGACGAATGGCTTAGGGTCCACTCCTCGAAAAAAGTTCCCTTTCCCAGATTGAAGCCGGAAGAATTCATCTTGGTATATATGATAGTGAAACGGCGGCTGTATTATGGATACTCCATTCTCCTGGGTTGTCGGCGGTAAACGATGCGTCATGATGTACTCCGATCCAGGTGCGGAGAATGAAACAGACGACCGTCCATTCTCATAAAATATCGGATTGTTGGTCGCACTATTTGTACGTGGCGGGTTAGGGGCTCTCATAAAGGACAGCATCGTGCTGGTAACAAAGTGGCTTGGTTGGCGGCTGGCTCTTGGAGCATCAAAGAAATACGGTCGGGATCAAAAGCGTCCTTTTAGAGTTGTCCTTGGAACGGCGTTTGCGGGGTTTCCCTCAGCCGATACTCGACCAATCAGACAAGCTCGTGTTCAATTGGCGGAAATTCCGAACGTTCGGAATCGTACTGATGTTGGGGAGTGATCGTCACAGACGGAATTAAACCGCGGGTTTGCGGAAGTGCGGAATTACGGGGCTATGATCATGGGACCAAAGAAGTCTTCCGAAGAGAAGACTTGGAATGGACATTTGACTCCGTTTATATTCAACAATCGGAAAAACTCGCAAGCTGCTGAAACCAACTGATGACGGAAAAAATTACTATTACATGAACATATTGAGCTTCCGGATGTATCGACATGAGGGAGTGGACACCTCAGACTGAGTTCCATGGGTTGGGATACCCAGGGTCTGTAATGTTAACCCTGACGACCGGGCTGAGCCAGCTGTCATAATCGCTCGAGTCGGTGATATCTCCACCCCATCTCAATGCTCGAACAAGAACACGATAGTCTGCATTAGGGAGTTGGTATAAAGTCCCATTAGCCAACTCGACCTCGGCCCAAGTCCATTCGGTACCGTAAACGCTGTAGCCACGGAACAGGATTGACGTAGTATACTTAGGCTTGTCACCGCCATACATAGAGCCAATCAGGCCGTAGCTCTTGACCCCAGCGAAGTTGTCGAGCGAGTTGAGATCCAAAGGCGGTTGCAGGGTGGTGGTGTTAGTGAAAGGAGTCGAGTTCGAGGGTCCTCCGGGAATGTAACCAAGAGATGAAGGTGTGAAGTTGTAGGCGGGATTCGAAGCAAGATCAACGGGAACAGCATCCAATCGAACGTATGGGGAGGGCTGGTCGATGAACAGAGTAATGATAGGGTTGTTGTCAGCCGGACGTGTCTCGTTTTCTGGGACGTCCTTGGCCGGAAAGTTGAAGACCATCCTGTCGTTGTTACGAACGCCAGTATCCCCTGCACTGATAAAGGGAAGTGTAGGGATTCCCGCTGGGGGCTGCAGCTCTGGCGATAGGTTCGGGACATCGCCCGTGTAGATATTCGGCTGAGTGCTTCGGGCATACGGGATACCGAGATAAGGAAGGACGAACTCTTCGTCATCATCAGTGATTGTGATGAAGCCGCTGTACACAGGCAGCAGGCTAGGGTCAATTTCAGGAGGTTGAATTTCGAACTCGACCGTAGCTTTGCCGCCAGATGGAATTGTCAAAGATTTCTCGCTGAAGGAAACGTTGGCATAGATCGAGTTGAAGTTGAGAGACCAGTAGAACATATCGTTGACGTCAAGAGTCTTGGCCTTGGGGAGTGCATCAACTTCGGCGGCACCCTTATGGCCAATCGAGTACGTCTTGGCCTGGGCAGACTGATTCTCAATCGTGAAGTTCTGCTTGGCGGGTTTGGCAGTATCTCCAAGGTTGAACTCCGTGGTCGAAAACACTGTCTCGGTTGAGACTGCCTTCAAAATATTGACCAGACCCGATCCTTGTTGGGCCGCCGTTGTCAAGATTCCGCCCCCTTCGTACTGGTTCAGAGGAGTTGCGGATGATTGCAGGCGTCTCGCAATCTCTTTCGGAGAGAGGCTAGGGAACTTTTGCTTCAGAAGAGCGTAGCATCCAGCAAGACTGAGAAACAGTTAGCATATATCCAGACCATGATGAAGAGTAACATACTGAGGGGTGGCCATAGAAGTCCCAGAGATGATCGCATAGCCCCAACCGTTGGAAGTGACCCAGGTGCTGAGAATGGTGCCCCCCGGTGCCGAAACCTGTGGTTTCAATGACATCTCCATAGTGGGACCAAAAGTTGAAAACCATGAAGTCGTGTTTCCGGTTGGTTGCGGGATTTGATGCACGCTCTGATCTTTGAAAGTCAAAGTGTAGTTTCTTCCTTGTTCTGCAATACCTGCCAGGATCTTGTCTGACTCAGACTTCTTGATTCTCACAATGTCCACGTCCCCGTTAGCCCCCGGAGAGTCGATTTCAACGTCGCTGGTGTCAGGCAACCACTCCCAGACATTTTTGAAGCCGGAAGAATTGGTGCGCACGTCAAGGTCGAGAGTACAGCTGCTCCCTGAGCTAATCAGTACGATGACGTTGTCCTTCTCTGGAAATGCAGCGATCGCGTCAGTCCATGCCTGGTCCACACAGTTCTGTTGATCGTCGTCGGCGTAGAAAACATTGTAACGAGCGGACGCATTGATAGGAATCACTCGAGCGTACTCGATCGTTGAGTCATCTGAGCCAACAGCGTTGTACATCGTCGTGAAGACCACGTCGCTGACAGAGCCGACCGAGATAACGCTGGCGTCCTGGGCGGGAGCAGAAGATAGATAGATACCCTGATCTCCCTCATTGCCAGCAGCCACGGTCATGCCGATACCTTGAGCTTGAATCTTTGCAAGAAGAGGAACGTAAGGTGACCCAGTCTCCCAGACAGCGGTTTCTCCAATAGACATGCTGATGAGATCGACACCATCGCTTGCTGCCTTTTCGAATCCTTGCATCAGGATGTCATCGGTAGTGCCTCCGGTGCAGCCCAAAACTCGGTAAGCATACAACGATGCGTCAGGAGCGACTCCGACAATTCCAAAGCCAACTCCGTCAGGATCCCTAGCAGCGATGATTCCTGTGCAGTATTAGACACCAAGTCCGGTGTTGTGAAGACATTTGAGCTTACCAGCAACATGAGTTCCATGACCTCCATCAAGACAAGTTGTCAACGGATCATCATCGGGCACCGGATCGTTGTATCCCACAAAGTCATCCCCGACCAGATCGTAGCCTCCTGAAACCTTGAAGCCAGCTCCAAAGCCGCCTCCGAGAGCTGGATGACGATAATCAACTCCAGTATCCAAGACTCCAATCTTGACGCCTTTGCCAGTAACTCCTAGGCCGTGAACTTTATCGGCACCTGTCATCTTCAGGCTAGAGAGAACATCGCTGGTCCCGTTCACTGTCGCAACTTGCGCAACGTCTCGCAAATGAATAGGCTGAACTCCGACCGGAACGTATTCATTGGGAGCTTTGGGGCTTCTTCCGTGAACCACAGGGGCGGGGCGCTCATAGTATCGGTTGGGCCAGACCTGTTTGACTTGCGGCAAAGCCAAAAGAGTGGTGATATCCGTATCGTTTTTGGCGTTGATCGAGAGTCCATAGAAATATTCCGGGTTTTTGAATTCATGTCGGACCGAATAGTCCAGCACGTCTTCAGCTCGGCGATGGAACGCAGAATGAGCATCAACTTCAATGCCATCGGCAGCTCGACCATTGATAGAGGCAGCGGTTGGCTCCAACTCAATGATGAAGCCATGGCTCGGAGGAGGTGTGATCTTCGTAGCTGATCCGGGCTTCAAAACCGCCAGTCCTGGCGTAGCCAGGGCGGCGGCAATAGCCAAAGCCTGCAGTGCGAACTTCATAATGAAAACAAGTAAGAGAGTGTGGTGGTTGCAACATGAAAGACGAAGTACGCAAGAAAATGGGAAACACGATGCAGAGCGAAGGCTATGATAAGTAGGACCTGCCTGTCAAACATTCTCTCGTGTAATCAGTTGAGAGCTCTCGGCAATGAGGTGTCGGCCGAGTCCAAGGCGTGATTCACGATAAGGATGGCGATATGAGTCTGCAATTTGCTCAGATTATCTCGAGGTCCTTTTGTGTTTCAATATCAGGGTAGCCACTAACCTAGGTAGTATCGGGTAGGTGTTGTAGATTTCCGATCGCCCGGCAATCTACATCGCTGAGGCTTGAAAGCTTGATTAAGCCTGTGCGACGAGGAAGACCACGGCATCGAGTCATTTCTATAAGCCCACCAATTGAAGAGCTCATACGACAACCTCGTATTCTTCCAAAGACGGGGACAATCAATGATGCGTGGTACATCCTCGCATGTTTGGTCGAATTAGGAAGGTCGGTGGTGGATACCTCGAAATGAACACTGCTATCGCCCCCAAACTTTATTGCCGCCGGCATTCACGATATTTTGGGGGTCGTGTTCGATTGATTATTCCACAGCAGCATGAGCGATGCAAAACTTGACGTATTTAATCGACGCAATGATTAGAA